TCACTTCCAAAGGGATTTACAGCCGTGGAAACCCTATGGGACAGTTCTACTCTGTCCTGTAGGGTTGCTATGAGTCAGAATGACTCAATGAGTGGCAGTGAATTTGGTTTTGGTTTTATACAGGCACTAGATTTAAATGAGGTGCCAAATTTGATAAGTATCAAAAGATCGATTTGACTAAAATATTATCAAAACAAACTAAATAGCAAGTAGTTAACACAACTTTATATAGATGTTTCCAAACTATGCACCCTCATGGCACAGTGGAATGAATAGGGGGTGCAAAACCTCACTGTAGGAAATGGTCTGGAATTTAAGAAACTACTTGCTGTTTTAATCTCTGATTAAAAGTTCAGCACTATGCTAGGACAACTCCAAATAATTTATGAGGCTACATCACAAGTGGGAGCCCTGTGAGAGGTCCTAAAAGCAACTTGGACAGAAGCATGTCAATCAGGTGGAGGAAGCTACCAGGAAGTATTAACTGACAAGGATCTGTATATATTTTTATTACATTGTTTCCTCAATTGGTTATTAGAAATAAAGTAATTTGGACACACATGGGTCTCCGTGAGTCAGCGTGGACTAGAAGGCTGCAGGGTTTTTTTGGTTTTATTAAACAAGCAGTTCCCAAGTTATGGATCAGCAATCCATTCTTAACTGTGTTTAAGAATTTGTAGGTAAGTCAGGACTGGTGCATATTGCTCTTATTTACCTCATTTTAGTGCAAGGAAAGGCTCAAAGACTTGTCAATGATTTAAAAGCTGCATGTGCAGCAAGTGAAGGTGATTATGATGAAGAATTTGTTGCGAGTAGGGATCAATCCAATCATTTCAAAGGAGGGCAAATATACATAGCATTAAAAGGCAAGTAAGAATTGTCCATAAGTCAGATGTTTGTAACCAGTGGACTGCCTATATTAGAGTGTTGTCAAATTCTTCTCCCTGGAGTGCAAAAATGTCTTGGCAGGCCCTGTCTGGGGACACTTCTCCCCAATGCCTGTGCCCACACCTGCTGTGCACACCTACAGCTCCTGGGACTCTACTTCCCAGTTGCTCTCACAACTTGACATAGCCACGTGAGGCTGTGACTAACACAGCTCACCCCTGCTAGAGAGTAAACTATAAGAACTTTGTCTATTTTACTCATCACTGGGTCCTTAGTGCCAAGGACACTGCCTCCCACATAGGAGCAGCTCAAAAAGTACATATGTGTTTTATGAGCAGAAGGATGTTGATCAGAGACCCTAACCTACTTTGTGGACAGCATTTTTCCTGACTGTTCTGATGTACTCCTTGGACGTATTTCAAAAGAATCCGTGATTACCCTGTAGCAGTTGCTGTGGAATAATTCAGACCCTATGTGTGTCGGAATATAACTGCTCTGTAGGATTTTCAATGGCTGATTTTTCCAGAAGTAGATCATCACCAGACTTTCTTAGGAAGCACGTCTGGCATGGTAATTGTTTGCACCACCCAGGGACTCCCTACTTCCTCCTTTACTCCAAAACCAAACTCACTGCCATCAAGTTGATTCTGACTCGTAGCTACCCCCATTGCATTTCCAAGGCTACAAATCTTTACAGAAGCAGACTGCCTCATCTTTCTTCCACAGAACAGCTGGCGGGTTCAAACTACCGACCTTTTGGTTAGTGGCCAAATGCCTTATCCCTCCTTTACAGTTTGATTTAAATATTAACACTGTAACACTCCTCCTACATATGGAGACACAACCCCTAGCCTCCACAGGTTCTTCTAACCAGGGCACACTCCCAAATCAGGCAGCTGGTTGCTTTGACAAGGTATTTATGTTTTAAGTGATCTCTGGGATTAGTAGGAAGCTGCTAGATTTTTAATCTTTTCTCTTTCCAAACTGAAAAGGTCATCCAAGGGGTGTCTAGTCTTTGACAAATTCCCCTCCATCAACTACTGACCATAAATCCACAAGGAAGTCCCTTTTAGAGAAATAAAATAGGAAAGAGAAGATAGGAAATGAAAGAACACATCCTACAAGAACGTAAGGTCATCTACATTCAAATCATCTGCTCAGTGTGCATGGTTGTAATGGAAGGCGGTTGTTAGGCTGGGCTGCCTCCCAAAGGGCTTAAGATAGATTGAGGCTTGGCACAGGTATGCTCCTGAGAAAGTGGTGCCTTCTACTGAATCTCCTAGGTGCTGTTTGCCTACCTCCTTCCTCACAGAGACCCGCCTGCCTGTTAAGCATTGCTCTCTACCCAGGAATGAGGTGCTAGGTGGAATGCGGACCCTCAGGAACACCAGCAAGGAAGGAATCTTGGCTCTAAGCCAAACCCCATGCTCTCAGAAATTGTTGTTAGTTTCCTTTGAGTCAATTCCAACTCATGCCAACACCAAGTGTGCAGAGTAGAACTGCTTCATAGAGTTTTCAAGGCTGTGAACTTTCAGAAGCAAATTGCCAGGCCTATCTTCCTAGGTGCCTCTGGGTGGGTTCAAACTGCCAACCTCTGATCAATACTTTGTTGTTGTTGTTATATATGCTACCAGAGCTCCTGATCAATACTTTAGTGCTTAACTATTTGTTCTACCCAGGGACACTTTCTCAAAGAACATAGATTATTAAAATCATGGATACTGCAAGAAGTAGGAGGGCCTCTCCTGTAACTGCCCTATTTTTCTGGTTGACTAGGGTTCCTGGTCCTGCCTTTAGTCTCTTCCAGGATTGCCAAACCTTGTTATTTATGGCCTGGTTAGGGCATGGAGCCCTGAGACCTCATTGTGTGTTCCCCTCCCCCATTTCATCCCAGTAACATCTGGACATCCAGGAAAGCCATGCAAGGGATAAAAGGTGCCCAGAGGACCAGCTGCCCTGGGGGAGGGGGCAGACCAGAAAGAAGGAGGAGCACCCCACCACCACCACCCTGTGCTTTGGTCACTGAGATTTGACAGCTGGTGTGTAGGAACCTCCTTGTCCTGCAGCTTCCCCAAAATCAGGGTCACTTCCCCTGGGTCAGAAGCTTATGAGGGTGGGGATAAGAATGTCCTGACCCCATTTTCTTTGTTGGTTACCAGGGGTGGGAGGGAAGGGGAGGGAATGCTGTTAGATAGATAGAGATAAATATTGATTTGGGTGAAGAGAAGGGCAATGTACCAAATGTGAGTGACCAATATGGCAGCATTGAGGATGAGAAAGACAGAGAGAGTTACATGGGCAGTACAAACAACAAATATGAACCCCTTTGTAAATACAATACTGAGTTGTCAATGAAAGCAAACATGGGTATAGGGACGGATAGATGGGTGAACAAGCTAAACAATTATGTATGTCTAAATGGAGAGTGTATCCAAGATCATATACAGGGTTGGCAGACAATGGGCCTCTCGAAGAGTATGAAGGGATGGACACTGGGAGGAGGTAACTATGGGGAGAAAGTGGGAGGGGAGCTGCTGCATTGTAAATTTTGGTCAATGACATGAGACAAAGTATATGTGAACTGCTGTATGAAAAGTGAATTTACTCTGTAAATCTTCACCCAAATCCTAATAAAAAAAAAAAAAAAAAGAATGTCCTGACCCTCCACACTCTGGTGGTCCCATTGAGGATACCAGTCATGGACCTGTAAACTGCTGCCTACTTTTCTCCTTCTGGTTGGCAGGTGTCAGAGCTGAGGATGTTGAATGGGAGGCATTGAGGACTTTTAAAATGCAAAGGCCTCTGGGATCAATTAAATGTCTTAATCCTTTAACAGTCACACAAAACGAAGCCAACAGCTGGGTTTTTCTGAGGGGACCTATGAACCAATACGTGCCAGGGGCTTTACACACATCTCGTTTAATCCTCACAGCATCTCCATACATAGAGATTATTATCCCCACTTTACAAATGAGCAAACGGAGGCACAGAAGGGGACCCCTACTCATTCTGTCCCAGGAGAACTGTGGTTCCTAACAGAGAACCAAGGGCAGAGAAGACGGAGAAAAAGAAGCCAGCTTGCTCAGGTTAGTCTTGGCCAGGCCCAAGAGCCGAAATACTCTGGACCCACATGTATGAAAAAGAATTGATGCTTTTGAGTTGTGGTGTTGGAGAAGAATGCTAAAAGTACTATGGTCTGCTAAAAGGACTAACAAATCTGTCTTGGAAGAAGTGCAGCTGGAATGCTCCTTGGAAACGAGAATGACCAGACTTTGTCTCACCTACTCTGGTCATGTTGACAGAAGGGACCATTCCCTGGAGAAGGACATCATGCTTGGTAAGGTGGAGAGTGGATGAAAGAGGGGAAGGCCCTCAACGAGATGGATCGACACGGTGGCTGCAACGGTGGGCTCAGGTATAGCAAGGGTCGGGGCTGGCACAGGACCAGTCAGTGTTTCATTCTGCTGTGCATAGGGTCTCTGTGAGTCAGAGAGGACTCAACAGCACCCGACAACAACAACAACATGTCCCGAGGGAGCTAGTCCAGGAATCTCTTGCTTTCTGTTATTCTCACCCCATTCCCCGCCTGGTTGGAGCAGATGGCCAACTTGTTTCCAGGCCCTGATGTGGCATTCAGCTCCTGGGAGAACAGCTGCCAGCCATGCTCCAACTTCCTGACCTTACAAGCAACCACCCTCTTTTGGGAACAAGGTTGCAGGGTGGTCTTTTAATGGATTAAATTGTTATTATTGCTTAGAAAGCAGGTAAACCTTCAAAACACAGAATTCCAGACTTTCCCAGCCTGCTCTTATTTTAATTTTTTTAGAAAAAGTAAATTGGCAGCAGCAGAGCAGGTCTGTGTTCTGAATGTGAACAGTTTAGTCACTGTTCAGCTTTGCTTTAGTCAGCAACTCTCCCCACTCACTTCTTGCCAACTCTTCTCTTCGGGAAAAGCAGTCGCTCTGGAAATGGAGCTGGGCTTGTTTGACTGTGAGTGGGAAAATACACCATGTAGGAAGTGCTGTGCCTGAGATAACCACACAGCCAGAGCAGCAGTACGTGGCACTGTGGCAAGGCCCTCACAGAGTAGCTGGGGGAGGGTCCCATCCTACCTCCAAAGGCAGGTCTCATGGTGAAATCATGGTCATCCACTCTGAGAAGCGGCTGAGGTTTCCCTTTTCGCATTTTGGTTACATCTAGGTTCTTCTTATACAAGTGACTGCAAAGATAAGCAAGACACATTTTCCATCGGCCCACAAAGATATTGAGCAAGATAGTTTTGGGAGACTACACTTTGTAGGGTCGACATGTTAGACACCCTTTCTCCTTCCTGCCATCTCCTTTTCAGCCAAGTGGAGGGTGAGGGGTGAAGGACATCCCTCCCCGAATCCTTCATAGACAGACCTGAGGATCAGACCCTTCTAGAACCTTCCTAAAGCAGAAGCCCTCCTGGGCAGGACAGCAGTTTTTCTTGGTTAAATTCTTAAATGTCTTTTCCAAAAGTTATAATTGAATGAAGATGGTTGGGTTGAGTAATGGAGAATTGTGATTTCTTCCTTTTTAAAAATTCCTCTTGTGTTGCTAGGATAGTTGTTTGTAACAAATAAAATTCTGAAACAAATATAGTTAAAGTTTTAAAATGCCATATATATATA